CCACCTTCTTCCTATTTCTCATAATATAGAGTAAATGCTCCAGTGCTTTGTTTTAATCAGAGGTGATCTAACAAGGAGAGAGAAGAAAGATAGTCAGAGAGAAATAGATCCTGAATGCAACAGGATTCCTAGCTGATTCTATGAGATGATGGGAATAGGTTCAGGTTTAACAACCTCAACCAGATAACTATTGCACTTTTCCTCGCTGAAAACACTTCACAAAAAGCTTTCCACAGAGCTCAAAAAAGGGGTTAGGAATTTTATTTAATTTCACAAATTGCCCATCTTGCACCATCAGAAAGCTGCAGCTTTCAACATATGTGATAAGATCTCTCCAACAGAAGCAACCTGGAAGACCGTAAAATCAATTTCTTTGCCGAAGTACAAAGTCCTGCAAAAAAGGCACAGTAAATTTACCTCTAGGAAGGTACTCTTTACATCCGAACGGAGCACTGCTAACTTCTTGCTCAGGCACATTGTGAGGCCAAGCCCCCAGCCCAGGTCTCGCTGGGGCAGCGAGCACCGCGGCTCGGAGCAGTGAGCACCACCTCGCTCAGCCAGCGCTCAGCGAGCAGCAAGGCTGACCCCAGCGAGGCCGGGCACGCGAGGAAGCACCGACACCCACGCCTCCCTTCTTCCCAAACACTTGTGTTTGCCGACCATTTGATTTTATACTCTGCTCTTTCCTGGTCAATAATAGAGTAGCACAATGCAGAGCACTGGAAAAGGATACTCATTTGCAGAAGGAAACAACCAAACTTTCAGCAACCTTAATACAAATACCAGAGGTGAAGGTAACCTCTTCAAAAGTCTTCAAAAAGCTTTCCTTGCCCTCTACATTATAAACAACCACAGGCACAGCACAGGTGTGGGTTGAGGGGAGCAGTTTGGTGGGGTTTCCCCCCTCCCAATACTAGAATGCTTTGTAAAACCAATTCCATGCTTTCAAAAACAGAGATGCAGGTAGAAATGCAGGCTTCTCCCTTAAAGCAGCAATTTAGTGCTACACAGCCTGTCCTCCAGAACACAGCAGTTTTACTACCTGTGAGGTTAAATCTTTTTGCCTACTGATTTATTTTTATAGGACAAGAGTAGTGCTAAGTCCACCTACTCAAACCCTCTAGACACTCTCTGGTTCTTCTGCTTCATTATTTACAATTGCCAGTTAATGACAGCTACGCACACTGCTTTTTATGTGAAAAGACAATTGTATTACCAAATAACCACACATTCCTATACATTTTGAGATATCACAACACAATTTTCCTCAAAGGAAAGACAACTAGATTGATGGGGTCTACAGAGTAAACATGACACAACTCAAAAAGCCTTTTTACTAAATCTAAAGAACCCCAGCACTCTTACACATGAGCAGCATGTTTCCTTAATGAGCCTGAATGATTACATAGATGGAAAAGAACCAGGTAACAATTTGGTCTCTTTCCATAAGAATAAATAAATAAATACATTTCCCTATTTGAAACATTGCTGGTTTTTTTATTAATTTTTAGAAGTGTAGCTATGGGGAAAAAATTGAGTAAAGGCATGTATTTTCCATCTACTCCAATTCCATTTTGTATAGCTATCCCTCTACATAAACACATCCACTTGCATAAGTGATTTTCTACACCCTACTGAGACAATAAATAAGCACAGCCTTTCAAATTCATGCTTGAAAATTATGCATATCCCAAAAAGGACAAGATTGCCTCCTTATTGATTTATGCAGGGAAAATTATATTTCTCCTTCTTACCACATACTCTTCCACGTCCCTGTAATTGCTCACTGAGCCACCATTGCCCATATTCTCAATGTTATTAGTGGCAGACAACTTCACAACTACTGAGTTTGATTCAACATCTCAGATGAACACAACTGTGAAAGCAGCTTGATGAGCATCAATCTAACAATCATAAAGCAGATATAAAACCACATTTTTATGTGCATTGCTATGTTACTCTTAGTCATTGAGGGAAAATGAATAACTAAAATGGCACAATGCTCAACTAATATGCCTGGATTATTTCATCAGCTGGGCCACTGTGCAATAAAATGCAAGGAAACCAGGCTTTGCTGGAGTTTTTGTGGTTTGAGTAAACCTGGCTGTTCATTAGCAGAGCTCATGCACAGGGAACTCAAAGATGTAGGTTCCTGATCCTTTTCCAACTTCTCATTTTAAAATAATTAGCATTCTTTGTGCATGCACATGCATGAGTACACTGCAAGGGCATGGAAAGGCTGCCCACTTGATGCAGCAGAAAAACCCACAGCAAGTGACTGAATAAAGTTCTATCACAATTGATTCAGAGAAAAAATAGACTAACTGCTATTTGTTATCAACAAGGTTTCTCTTTTTTTTTTGGTTTTTTTTTTTGCTGCTTTGATAAAATGTGGGAGGGTAAGGTGGGAACGGGTGGCAACATCCTCTGCTCCCTGCTAAACAGAAATCAGCATTTCCAATGCACTCAATTAGCAATGTTTTAGGTCTGTGTCAGAGTCCTCATCAGAGCTAATTGATTCCAGGCACAGGCAAATCTCACCATTCAACATCATTATGCAGAGGTAGGTGGTGAAAAGGAAAACAGATCTCTGATTAAAGAAAAGCATGAGGGGGAGGCACACCATTTACAAGCTGCACACAGCATTCCCACCCAGAGAAATAACAGTGTTTAAAAACATTCTGAAGAGAGATGCTTCACAATCAAATTTCATAGGATTGATCTGGAAGCCCAAAAATTGGAGCTGTGACAATGGACCAAGCTATGTGAAAAGGCTTTCTTTATCTCAGGAGAGAACATGGGAGAGAGAAAATTCAATTATATTTCCTGACTTATTTCCCTACTCCTCCTTCCACTCCCACTCACAAAGGGTGTTCTAGGGCAATAGAGGAAATTGTGATAGTACATAGGGTAATAGTTCAGAAAACAAGAATACTTATCAAATGAGCTAGCTGAATTGCAGTTTGAATGCACAACTCTGTAGACGTTGGTGGGAAGATCTGAGGTCAGCACTTGTCAGAAGGAAGAGATGCTGTGCTCCTGTTCTCTTGGCACAAAAAGCATATGTTGCCAGCATGGGAAACAGCTTTCCTGGCCTAAAGCCCACGCTGGAGTCCCACAAGATAAAAGGCTGGAAATGTCCCTTCTCTCCCACTCCTTTACACATGCAAAACCAGTCTCCAGATCTGGTTTTGTGCTAAGCTAAATTCTATGTTTATATTCATACTAACACTTTGAAACTAATAAATGCAGAACTGTATTTTGACTGACTTTCATCTCAGTCCACAGAGCTACTTTCAACAAGCTAAAGCACAGCACACTGGCATGGCTGGCTCCACGGACACTGACATTAATCAGCCCACAGAGCCTGCAAGTGCCCAGCTGCAGGCACTGGCATATAATCACCATACAGATGATTATATTTTTAGCACCATCTAATTAAGCCCTATTTTCCTGGCCTTAGAGACAGCTACATGGCAGCTCCCCTGTTCCAGCTTCACCTCATTAATTAGAGACCTTTTCTTTCAAACAAGACAGGTGCTGTAGCCAGCACCACAACTATTTTGGGGCAAGTAATGTCACATCTATAAGAACTTCACCCAGCTTCCTAATGCTTTTTATGTAAACATGAACGAATGAATAGCTGCTAGTTTTTTCCCTTATTATTCAACAGAGGATGTGTATATAATAATAAAAAAGCAAATTGCTATGACGTTTGCTATTTACTTCTACTCATCATAGCTTGCTCACTGCTTTCTACTGCAATGTACTATACATTTTCACCTTCTTTTTACCTTCTGTATATACTAAAAGTATAAACTACTTACAAATGTCATTTTAACACACTAAAGCCTTAATTACCCTTTCTTTCTACCTTTTCAAAAATGCATTTTGCTCACATTGTGTTTATACACAATATCTTAGCAGTAAAAACAAGAAAAAAGTTTTAAAACCCAACACAGTTGTGACAAAAGTGCAACATGAATTTGCTGCCTCATTGAACCACAGAAGTATCACCATGTTTCTGCATCAGATCACAAGTGAGCAACAACTGTTAGGACTTTATCTCGGTACAATACTGCTGACTGCCTCAATTAAAGCGTTAGGTTCTTTATTTAGATACCTCCTGCAGCCCCAACCAGCATAGCAGATGAGCACTTCTGACAGTTGCTACTCATATCCCAACACTTTTTCCCACCTTCTGGGGAGGTGTATAGTGAACATGGAACATTGTTTTCATCCAGATATATATATTCTATATATATTCCACTTCTTTTTCTAGAACAGTGGAAACAAGAAGCTTCCCTTTGAACATTCACTTCATCTGAGAAAGTATTGTAGCAGTAGTACAGTGGATTAGTCAATAACGGTGCAATGCTTAGAAATGCACATTAAAATACATAAAAATAACCCCATAGCAACGCTCAGAATTTAGCCCCTCCCCGTCGCAGTGCTACAAGTTATCACCTGGGTCACTGGTATGTGCACGTTTCAGGAACCTTTTGTTACACTCGGGCACACAGGTGAACAGCCAGCTGCGAACCGCAGCCGGACGAGCAGCCCTGAGCCCTCACGGCCGGGCCAGCCCTGCCCGGCACCGCCGGCCTCGGGGCCCGGACAAAGGCTCGCTCACTCACGCCGCTGCCCGCCGGCTGCCGAGAGCCAGCCCAGCGCCGGGGCTCGCCCGCCGGGAGCCCTGCGGGCACCAGCAGCCCCGAGCGGCCTGGCCGGCCCCAAGGCGCCTCAGCTGGGCCGCCGAGCCCACCCCGGCCCTCCCGCTCTCCCCCAACACAAACCTGCCCCGGGAAAAGCATTGATTTATTGAAGTAACCCCTTGGGAGCCTTAAAAATGGCTTCGGTAAAGCCTCGGAGAGCAAGGAGCCAAAGCAATCCTTTCCTCCACCTCCTCCTCCTCAGATGCCTCTCCCAAACTAAGGGCAGCAGCCTTTTGTAACAACTCTGTAATCCAACCAGAACATGGAAACTCAAAATACAAACCAGTTTGTGCAATACATCTTTATTTTAATTTTATTTTTTTTAATCTTTGCAGTCATCTTGGAGTAATCATCATGTAAACAGTAGGATGGGATGGGATTACATTTAGTCGAATGCAAATAGTTCTAGAACACCTCAACGATTATGACAAGGCATTATAAATAACTTCTCTTAACAATATATATTTGCCATTTTCAGTACATTAAAGAGCTGCCACTTATCTAGGATTAACTAGGAAGTAGTTTAAAGTGTAACCTCTGAGAAACATGTCTCCAAATGTGGAAGTCTTTCTAAGGTTCCCTAGCTCCATAACATCTATGTCACAGGTTAAGCAGAGGACTACTTGGGTCAAAGTGTTTTCTTTGTAATAGTTTTACTTGATCATTGCACAAAGCCCTATTATTCCACCTTGGTATTTAGCAGGACTTCAAATAAAGCTTCAGTTCCATTCTTCAAGTTTTTATTCGCTTGTATACAACTGGTTTCTATCATTTAGGGTAAGTCAGATCAGAGATGGACACAGTAAGCATTCTACCTTAACAACGGTTCACAGTAGCTCTAGCTCATAGACTCCCCAATAAAGCATAGTCAAAATACTCTAACACCTTTGCTACTGTATATCACCTCCTCGCTCAGATAACTATATATATTTATATTTATTGTACCATATATATGGTACTTCTAGAAAATGGAGATTATTTATATAAGCAGCCTCAGGCACATTCTTAAAACATTAATATCTGCAAGGCACCTCCCACTCCCTTGAGGATCAGTTTGTGGACTGGTTTTTTGACACACAGCCAACAAAAGCTTGCTAATGCCGGATCAAATTATTTCAAAAAACCCCTAGAAGTTACCAAATACTTCAAAGATATACCTGAAACTTTTTTAAATAGTGGGAGATTAACTGCAAATAGCACATAATCAAGTCAAATAATTTTCTTATTACTAGTATGTGTAATGCATAAATATATGAAAAATAAAATTCACAGTCATTTTTTAAACTAGAATTCAAGTTTGGCTAATATTTCTAAACTTTTATATGTATGTTAATTTCTAAATGTAACAGAACAGAGGCAGTATTATCAACCACAAGTACAGGTAAAATAGTATCACTCAAAGTCTATGAAAGAAGTAAGCTTGATAGAAAGTTCCTTTTTTAACCAATAAATACAGCCACCTGAGAGCAATTCCACAGGCTTTTCACTTTGGGGCAATCCAAATCAACTGCTAAGAGACATTTAGGAGCATTTTGAACGTTAACAGCAGCGGTGTAGCTGTGGGCTTTGCTTGTTCTGACTTTGTGAATTGCTAGATAATGAAGCAGAACTCAGTGTGTGGTGCATTAATTTTCCCTTGTATCTAAGCTGGCTTTTTCGCAATCTCACAATTCGGCTTGGGGTCAAGGGACAGACATCAGCTGACACTTAACTGAGCAAAACCAATCAGTTTCACTTCATCAGGAATCTCAGTGCCATCACAGCCAGAGGCCTGCAAGTACAAACAGAAATGTTTAGTATATCATGCTACAAAGGAGCATTTGACAGCCAGGATATAAAATTTCCCCATATCACCCAGTCAGCAAACAGCTTGATTGAAGGAAAGCTTTCAGACTGCTTCAAGTGGCCTCAGTCAGCATCAAACAATTGCATCCTTAATTTTAGCAAACTCTTGTAGTCAATACTAAAAATTATGGGAAAAAATACTGGAAAATGGACACTGAAATACCCAAAATCTTTAAACCAAACCTTCTAGACTGGAGCCAAATTTGCTTTTTCATGGGAGTAAACAGTTTTCACTCATGAAGAGCATCCAATATACATGTATAGAATCCACTTTTTACCACTGTGCTGTACACAGCAAATGTCTCATGAGTCCAGCCAGCAAGTTAGTTCAGCAACCAGCTGAATTCTTAAACAAGAAACTGAAGCAGTCTTCAGTAAAAGAGTAAATACTAATATTTGCAAAAGACAGCTCCAGCTGACAGTACAATCTAGTACTTAAAACTCTACATTTTAAATTCTTCAGTAAAGCCTGTCACAAAACAAATTAGTACAAGTGATCAGTTCATTTTTCATATATAACAGTAAGAATATAAAACCACTTTGCTCAGGACTAAACAATTACTTTAGGTCTGTTTTAAAAAAATATTCTGGAGGCAGAGTATTTCTATGTTTTGATTTTTAAACACAAAAGCTGCTTCTGTAGGACAAAAGTGACATTTTAAATAAAGGGGTTTATATATTTTTATCTGTATGGTAGATAAGTCAAAGTATTAATATAATTGGATTAAAATGTGCAATGCTAACTTACTTATAACAGATGCCTTCAGATTCTTTTGCTTATCACAAAACATCTCCAACACAACAATTGGTCCACCCTATAAAAATTATTTTGATCCTTTTTTGTATTAGTAGCAGTTGACCCCTTTAATAGAACTGGTTTGTGAACATGTGCTGTAAGGTTAAGAGCTCTCAGATTGTGCACAGAAGGTGCACTGACACAATCCATGGAATTTGCATGACCAGAATTAACACTGTGTTGACACTTGTGGAAATATTACATCAGGCTACTCCTTCAAATTTACTTTGAGAAGACACAGAGAACAGAAGTTCTCTCTTCAGGTAGTATTTCATATCTCTTACAACACAGAAGCACCAAGTTAAAGGTCTGAGCTCATCACTCCTGGTAACTATTCAGATATCTGAATGATGCTTGGATTGGAAATTTACCAAATAAATGGAGTTTGAATTTTGCACTTAAAATGTAATGCTAAAAAGTGCTACTACTACTAACACTGTTCTATACTCTAACTAGCTATCAATCTCCTCAAAGCCATGCTAAGTAACGTGTCTAGATGCATATAGATATTTAAATGCCTTCCTTATCAATAAATATTATCTTATGGATATTCAATGCATCTGGAATCTATTAACTTATATTTTGTGCCTAACATAAATACAAATACTATACACAAACTGCAACATAAAAGTACTTGGTAGAGACTGAACACACTCTTTCATTATTGGGTTTCTTTCCACCCTTTTTCATAAGCAAAGTCCTTATACAAAATGCAAGTTATGCCGTGCAATGATTTTGTGTTTCCTTGAGTGTTTCCAGGATTATTTGTGCATTAAAGCAGCCTCCTTCCCAAAGTGTGGACAGCTGGATCCTTCAGGGAAGTTTTCATTCCATATTAGCCAAGACAACTAGGGGATATTTAATACTATATATGTTCTGCAGAATTACATAATTTTAAGAGCAAAGATATATTGTTTATAAAATATGCAAGAGAAGGAATCCAGCCCCTGACATCCAGACACCTCACCTTAAAATTTTTCTTTACTATTTCTGTAATAATTAGATATAAAAATAGTTAAGACATAAACTGTTCCTTTTTCACCACAAAGATTAACAGCCTGCTGTTTGAATAGAAATATTATTTACCAGCAACAGCAACCTGTAAGCAGTAAGATACTAACCAGACTCCTTGTCCAGAAATAGTAGCAACTAATCCTAGACTAAGAAGTAGTTTTGAATTGAGTTTTCTGAATGGATATATGCTACATTTAGACCTTTAATCCCCATTAAATATTTCCCAACACAATGTGTTTTAATCAAGTTGTATATAAGTGTTCAAATTCAGTGAGATGTTGCTAAGAGGTAACAAAGACCCAGTAGTGCATACAAAGATATGAGAGAGTTCTCATAGGCAACAATTCACTTAGCAACTTCATTATACAATACAGAAATAGGCAGAAGCAGAACATATATGAAATTAATCCAAGGAGAAAAATCAATTAGGATACTTCTTGTTATAGTCTTTCTCTGTGTAAACAGGAACTAGTGCAGGAAACCTAGGTCAAAAGTATGAGGAAGAAAGTAAGGTTAAAAATTAACCTCCAGAATTCCTACCTATCCAGTGGAACTTACCTACAGCGGGGACAAAGACATTGAATTTGGATTGTCTGCTAATTCTGAGTATGGTAAGGAGCAGGATGATAGCAGCATTCACTCACTGGAATCTGAAGTTCTAGGTGACATTGACTAAACCTCAGCAATAAATCCAACTAGATCACCAAAAAATAGAAAAAAAAATCCCAACCTAAATTTTCAAGTGGATTTGTTTTCAGCATACCTAACCTGGATACTACAGGATATTACATTTTGGAATCATAGACCTCTATTTTAAGTATGGGAATGAGAAATCCAGGCTTCTCAGAGCCTCTCGAGTATCTGTTACTTAAATGCTCTTGGTGAGATGCCATTTACTACACAATAAAGCCAAGTCAGATGTTTAGAAGACAAGAGCACAGATCAGCTGCAAAAAGAAAAGACTAGCTTTTAAGCTATATTTATAGCAAAGGCCAGAGAAAGAAATGAATTTGAGTTACGTGTCTTTATTCCCCTACCCCAACCCCTTCTCACAAGGAGGGTGGAAGTTCAGGGGATTTCACTGGACTGTACAGGAAAAATGAGTTCAAATGAGTCAGCTAAAACTCCTCAGATCTGTATAAAGAATGACATGGGAAGAAGAGTCTTGAATTAATACATCATCATCAATTAGGTCTAAAAATGGCTCTCTACAGCAGCTGCTTTTATAAACAAAGCTGTGATTCTGGAGACCTGCTTATCTAACACATTCAGTCTAGTCTCTCATGTGACTGAGTCACTCTCAGCAAAAGGTGCTGAAAGCTAATTGGTATTTACATAACTAATAATTCAACAGCTTCAGATATATACATTTTTCAACTTAATTTTAACAATAAATAAAAACAAACACAGCACATCAATTCTAGCTCAAGTTTTTGCAATTTAAATTTATTAATATCAAATTAAGTCTATCATGCTATGATCGATATTAACCAAAATTAAGGACCCATGGTCCAGTGTACAAAATGCAGCACAGAAAGGAGTCCCAAGCCCCAAGCCCCAATCCAGGGTCTGATGACATACATACAGAAGATAGAAAGAGGTAGAGAAGGAGAAAACAATAAAATACAGTGGGAGAAAGACCAACATGCAGGTGTGGATGGTCAACTGAAAGAAGGTTGAAAAGAAGAACTAAGGAGAAGCAAGCAGTGGAGAAGGTGACCTGCATGCAAGAAAAATGAGGGCAGGTGTTTGAAAAAAATGGGATTGGAACAATATGTCCATGAGCAGAGGACACTTCAGCCAGGGTAGATCTAAGGGGGTGGGGGTGAAGGAGTGTTAACCTAGCTATTAGAGTTTTCTCTGCTTTACTTGTTTCTGCAATTCTTCCCAAGGGTTTTCTTACTGCAGCTTCTCCCCTAAACCTCAGGCTGCCTCAGAACTCATGTGACTGAACCCCCTTCCCCATGGCACTGTCCCATCAAAACAGGGTTTAAACTTTTTCTCTAATACATGGAAATTTCAGTCACTTTATCTGTCAACACATTCAACAAAGTAGCTGTAACTGAGATAGAACCCAGATTCTATGTGAATATTGTGATATATTGTCTGTTTCTTCCATAGATGCTTTTACTTACCAACTTAAAAGTCAATGTTTTCAAGGCCTTTGGATCATCTACTATCTTCTGTAAGTTAGCAGCAACTGTAAAACAAAGACAAAAAAATATGATTTACAGAAAACTGCATTCAACTTGACATCAAGGCTTTTGCTGAATCTTCTACTTCATTCTACACATATATGTGTCTGTAAATTACCACTTGAATCATTTAACCCTCTCTAGCTGTGGTTTCAGAGGGCAGTTGGGCTGCCATAAATCCTACTTCCTTTCTTTCACAGTCACTGATACTTTGTGACTATGTGAACTGATTCAGGGGGATAATCTGCCTGAAAACCAAATTACAGAAAAAAAGCCCAATTTACTAATTCTCAGTTTAGTCTATTCCATAAATAGTTAACAATCACACAAATACAAGTGCAAGGAAGATGGGAGAATCAGACAGCCAAGGATAAGGTGATGGCTAGCATGATTTATATCATCTTTCTGCCATAGCCAGGGTCACTATCAGCATCAGTTTCTAGCAGAACACTGAGCTCACTGTCCTCTCTAACTGGTTTTATGCATGTGCTTCTCTCCCTTTTTGGGGCTGGCACTAACACAGACTCTAGGTGATATGTTACAGCTCACTAGCAGAAAAAAACAACAAAAAAAGTTAAAATACAAGAGTGACACAAAAAGAGCTGATCTTCAAACTACTCTCTTAGAAAACATGATCAAGATGTGTCATGTAACAGCAATAAACACTTTAACTGGATGAACAGAGCTTGAGTGTCCAGAAAAGGAAGCTCTGTGCTGTAACAGAAATATCAGGAAGGAAACAATTTACTCTTTGAAAACAGAGGAGAATGCAGGAACTTAATAAACACTTTTTCTATCAAAACACCTAAGTTACATTTTAAATTGGTCTGTTTTACAAATATTGCTACCATTAGTCTTGACTCCAATCTGCTTTCAGCTTTGTATGTTTACTAAACTGGCTCCCCAACTTTGCACAGTCACAGATCCTGAACTAAATCAGACCAAATCATTAAGGGCCTTGGTTCAAGACTGATATATGAGCACAAGATGTAATCAACAGGATATGAGCATGAGATAAATATTTCACACCTGGCAGAGCTGTTTAAACAAGATTATAAAAAGAAAATGAACAGGTATTAAGTAGCAGACGTTTCTTAGTACACTGACTAGGTGCGTACCATAGAGGCAAGAAAGAAAATGCTGCTCATAAGTAACTCTCTCCACATCATTCATATGGTAGAAGATCACACCAAACATTTGCATGTTCCATGTCCTACAGCTACAAGCTTAGGTTTCTGCTTCCTCCACCTTCTAACATTGTGAGGACAACATTTTCACTCCCACTGTGCCTGACCATGCATGATCCACTGTGTAATAACAGAAATTCACCTCACAGGGGAAGTACACTACCTGGCAAGGGAATTTAGAAAAGTAAACAATTCAGCCAATCTGTCACTGTTAAATGCAAATCAGTTTTCTGTGGGTCTCATTTTCTTTATACAATTAAAATAGCATCAAGGATTGTTTATACACTTGTAATAAATTTAACTGGAGATGAAAGTGTATATGAAATTAAAAATAGAACTTAAAAGCAAGCATAAGGTACATTTAGTAGAGAATGTTTTTTGTAAAGAAAAGACTTAACCTTCACTGTTAAATGAACTCAACTGCAGGCACTACAATAGGAAGTCTTTCAATTTTTAAAGCCTCATTATTAATAAATTTTTTTATTCTACCAGTTACAAACAGCTTTTTATTTTAGTCACACAATTCACTTCCAAAATCTTTACAAAACTTTTATTGCAGTACCTCCTACCTGATGAAATACATGCAAATACATATAATGCATATTAATTGCAATTAATATTTAGAATCTTAGGAACATTCAGCCTTGTATCTCCTGAAGCCAGGATAGAATAGCTTCAATTTTTTATGTTTTAAAAATGTATAAAATACGATCATGCACTCAAGAGCAGCTCAGGTTTATCCAAATCTCTGTAAACAGTATCTTAAAAAAAAAAAAAGAACAAATTCTCCAGCTAGTGCTAGCTGGCTGCATTGAACTGAAGACAGTGCTACAAAGCCAGATAGGCATTGGATCCTAAATCCAAAGATTTCTAACTTCACCTAAATAAAATGTTACAAAAATATGAGCTTCAAGTGCATGCATATCTTTCGGAAGGGCAGCCTTTGATTTAATGTCGACCTGCTGTGGAACAACCAAGGCAAGTGAGCGTGCTCTGGGCTGCTCCCCCAGGAGCAAACCTTCCAGCTGCCCTCAGGCAGTTACTGGCAAAGGTATTATTAGTGCTTTTGCAAACAGCAGCCCACGACCAGCAAGTGTTTTAATGAACTAGCATACATTGGTAAGGGGCATCAGGATGTCACAGGTAGTATTGAGTCTTTAAAAACCCTAACCCCGCTCATGATTGATTCTTTAGCAGGGAAGAGATTAAACATTTCCAAGTAAAAATAGCAAAATTGGATTTTTTATATATGTAAATAGTTAATGGTAATTACTTTGTTGTTGTTGTTAAACACTGTATCAGAAATGAGTGGTATTTTAGATGGTTATCATTCCTGAAGAAAGCCAAGAATAGTGCTCAGTAAAAGGCTATGGGACACAGTTTTATTTATTCACTTGTTTTTACTTTTAATATGAACTCAAGTCAGAAACTTTTACATATTAAATATGCTTTATTTTTTTTTCTGATGGACCATAGCTAGAGTGGGATATGTGTAATCAAATAGAAGATTAGGAGGATTTAAGGGCAAAATGTCACATATTTGCAGGCTATGCTTGAAAATAAGAAAGCAGACCTATAGAATTCATAATATTAGAATACAGGTTCACATCAAGAATAGTCACACCTGCAGTTTCCTACAGAGAGATCTTTTCAATTTTAATTGTACATATTCAGCATTTTCAAGTACAACTAGCATTTCACCTCTGACTTTGGTACTGTGTTTTACACTTTCTGGCCTTTAGAGAAAGGCAACAGAAATCATCTAGCCAAAATAATGTCATTAATCACAGTCAATCAAGCCACCATGAATGCAAATCCTCCCAAAAGCCTACTCTTTCTGCAATATCTGAAAGCATATATAATTATCATCAACTAAGAGCCAAGTATTTGCACATACTTATCCAGCAAAACCATATCATCCTGCTGGTATCTTTTTCATTTTTCTAACTCCTTGCTTTTGTTTTTCTAGATCTGAATTTGGATACCTAAAGTCAGTATTTCAGGAAACTCTAAAATATGGTTCATTACCTGTAGGGATGAGACAATCATTACTCTTTTCACCTTAATACAAGCCAAACTTTCTAGGACCTCAGTTAAGTACATAGCTTTGGATGTGTCCCTCTGCACCCAAAATGTTTAAGATCTGTGTTCAAGTGGTAATTGAAATCCTATGGAGCCTGATGAAGTCACCTAAGAAAAACATAACACATAAACTTCAGGTGTTCATGGGATCTCTAGTTTAGGTAAATTCCACTGGAAACAGAGCCTGCAGCACAAGCAGTAGAAGCCATCCCAGCATGTGAAAGTACTTCCTGAATGCCTGCAGTCCCTTCCAGTTATTTCTCCAGAAGATCTGGGGATCCCATGCAGTGAAGACATCCTCAGAATTATAAATACAACAACATACTCTACAGTTGAATGCTCATCCTACTTTAAATGCAATTAAAGATATCATTTGCAGTAATTATATCTTGTAAATGTATTTCTAAAAATTTAGGACTATTACTAAACCTACACAGTTTGGACCACTAGGTATGCAAATTACCCTCAAAGACACCAAAAAAATTCATGCCAGGCATACACTCGTGACAGTAAAGAATGCTTTCCCTTACAAGCAGTTGCTGTTACTGTTCAGCCCTATACAGAATTACTTGTCCCTTCAGGCAAGTAAAAAAACCCAATTATTTTTAATTTGAACTATTAGGCTTTATTGACGAAAATCTTCTCCAGCTACTGGATTTAGGCTTCTCTCATTCAGAAGAATTACTTACTAGGCTAAGACTCACTAACCCTCCTAGTACAGTTCATGTGCAAAGTTCTAATTTGCCTTAAATACGACAAATGAGACTGAAGTTTCTAAATGCTCTGTTTCTAAATTAACCCAATCACATCTGCAAACCATAGTGAGGAAAATAACCACCCCATTCTCACCACCTTTCCCCACCCCCCAGTCCCAACAATTCTTGTGTTGCAAATTGGTGAACAAAATCAATTTAATACAGTAACACTCCCTAAAGTGAAAAGGAGTTTCATACTAGGACTTTCTAGAGAGGCAGGAATTGTTTCCTCCACTGATACTTAGATTATTTGGAAAAGTGAGGAGCATTGTAAAATGTCTCTTTACACCTTATCTCTAAGCTAAGTATACTGCAGTTCTGATTGACAAAGCCATTTTTCTTTGAAATAATCTGAAGCCATGCCTTGGATGTTGTACTTGTGAAATTCATAGATTAGCAATTGCAAGCAGCACTAACTGATATTAAACTCCTTTTGGGAATTCCCTGTTTCTACAAGACCTGGATATTCTATACTCCTTTATTTTGCAGAGTGTTTTCTCAGTATGTTATGGCCATGCACCTATAAAAGTCAGAAGAAGAAACATGAACAAGAAAAAATTAAGTGGTGATGGAAAAATCTTTGCCAGCAGTAACCTCAGGTAAATAGAGTATACTTCAAAACATGCCTTGGAGCAAAAGCTCTCTTTAGACATTAGTAACAGTTAGGACAAGAGGCTTTTTGTTGTTTACAACAATAAATGAGGTGCTGTTCACTTTCTTCAGAAGGCTTCTGAAGGACATGTAATCAACCTACACACCACAAATCTTTCCAGGTTCTTTTGCAGGTTTTGCTCAGTGACAAATGGTTGTGCCACTCTGACAAAATAAGTGTCTGCATTTGCAGAACATGCAATAGGAGAAAAGGTCAAACCCAGCATATAAATATACAGAACACAGGGTGTTAATTGCAGATGATATCAATAAAAAAAACCCCCACATAACTAGAGGCTTTTGCATGTGTGTAATGCAAATTACTTACTC